CAATATTGCCCTAAGAATCTAACCAATCCTAGTCATTCTAGATTGTCAACGTGTCTGGAGTTCTGAAAGAAGTAATTGGTGTAAGAAACCTACATTTCTGGTTTCTACAGATGTTAACTGTGATATTTAGTTGTGTAATCAATCCTTAGTTAATCAAAGTTAGGTGCAGATTAGTTTCTTCTTAGCTAATAATCCCATTTGTGTTTTTTATCAGACACATAATTGTGAATTTTCTAGAAATAGCCCTCAAAATCCAACTTGAATTTTCTTACCTCTTTTTTTTGCTTTCAAAAAATGATCCATTTTGGAACTTCCTCCTGTTCACAAATTTACAGAGAATAGTTTTATTCCTTAGAATCCAAACAGTAACAAGTGTATGTTTTTAGAATTAAAATTATATCCCTATTTAGAAAATGTTTGCATGTTTTATTATTTAAATTCTGATTCTTTGAATCAACATCTCCTCTTTCCAATGATAGGGTGAAAATAGTTAAAGTAAAGCTTTCTCAAAAAGCAAGAAGGGAAGTTTCAAAGGAAATTAAAATTAAATGCAGCATCCCAACTATTCCCAGAAACCTACAAGAAGCACAAACTTATACAGTACCATTTTCACCATTGACGAATTACCAGAGCTCTTTTCTCCAGAAGTGATGACCCCAGTAAATCTCAGCACCACACATTTCCCTTCAGAGATGGAGGGGAGCGAGTTGCTTGCATCCATGACAAAATGTGAGACTCAGCTAATTGGTGTGGTTTTGATGATGCCACAATTCTGCCCAAAACCCTTGTAACTAGCAAGTTTGCCCTAAAGATTATTGAATTACTCCACTGACCATGCATTATTTAAAGGGAAGTGCTGTTATTATAGAAGCCAGCTGTTTAACCATTGGAATTCTGTCTGTTGGCCAACTTTCAAGACACAGCAGTGCATTGTGACTAAACATTATGTCTACTCCTAGAGGAATCAAAGTCTAGGTTAGGTGATGGCCAACTTGTCTGGTAAGCAATCTTTGCTCTACGTGCTATGAAACCTCTGAAGCAAAACTATTGACAAAATAAATATAGAAATATATAAATTTTTAATGTCAAGACTTCATCAGCAAGAAAATTTCTGTGGAATGTTATACATGCTTATTCAATCTAATAGTTGAGTGAGTATATAAACAATTCATAATGCCAAAACAACAGAATTCTAGGACTGTACCTTGTTGTAGAAGGGACTATCCCAGTCACCTTTTTTGTAGCATCAAGTAAGGACAATGAAAAATGTTTTGATCTTCTTGGAGAACTCAAATGATAAACATAAAACAAATCTTCACTTTCTAAGTTAGAAAATATTTGAAACTGCTTCTTGAAGGCAGTGTAAGTGGCTTCTGACCATACTGAATATGTGGTCTATATGCATTTTCTCCTCCATCTCTTCACTTGTTATAAAATCTTTGGAATAGAAATGACCATAGCCGTCATCCACTGTGTTCAATACAGGAATATGCTTATAGGATCTCTGACAGGTATTCATACAGCCTTTACTTAACTGCTTCCAGCAATGGGGACTTCATTGCTTTTCAAGGAAGTCTGTCCCATTTTCAAATTGTTAGAAATGTTTTTCTTACATGAAGGCAATATTTTTGTTAATTCACCAACCAATTCTGATTCTGCCCACTGGAGCAGAATTATATCATGTCCAATAAGGAGTTTCGAAAGGCAAGCCTGGAACAATTAGTTCCATCTCATTTAAAAATGTCAAAATGACTATAGCTATAACTTAGAGATAATTAAAATACCTATTTTTCTCAAAATTGATACCGAAACAAATTGTTTTATTGCCTTTCTAATAAATCACATTGTATTGGGCTTCTAGTTTTAGCCCATAACAGCAAATATCTTTACTGTGGTACTGGAAAAAGAAGCAATATGAAGCACTTGAAGATAAAGGACAAAACTTTGACCCTCAACTGTGGTCTCTCAATTGGTGAGAAATGATGATTGTTTGTTAAATATCTTGATGTGAAACCAAAAATCAAGCCTATAGGACACTTCAAAGGATGATTAAACTTTAAAAGGCAATAAGTAAACACTTGCTACATTTATTTATTCCCAATAAAGAACAATGAGTCCATTATAGACATTAAGAATAGACAGAGAAACATCTCTCTAGGATTGTGGTAGCTAGAAGTAACTGATAGTTATATTTATGACGAAATCCAAGTCTGTATACCACTGTTTCAACAATATTTTTTTTAAAGATATAAACATTAGATAAACTTTCTTCAATGGAACATTAAGAAAAGTCCTAAAATTTTCTGTTCCTAAATTCATCAACGTGTGAACTAAGAATTACAGCTATTTTATAGACTGAGCCATGTGAAAATCTAAGCTCTTCTAAGAGAGACGACAAACCAGATGCCTGGTATATGCTGTTGTTTTTTGCTGTGATGGTTACTTTCTATGTCACAAGGAAATAAACCTGTGGTGAGTTTCATGGCTGTTGATAGTTAGCAAGAAGGGAATATGCAATACATAGAAATAGTCTCTGCCGTCCCATGACGAAAGTTGGTGTCTTCCTCCTGTAGCAGGAAAGGAGATCCAGCACCTATGAGATCTCAGTAGCAGGATTAAGTTAGAGGTGCTTGAAATGGACATGCTAAATAGGTCCTGGAGTCTCAAAGTCTACCCTTCTCCATCTTCAACTCACAAGCATAAATTTTGAAATCAATTATTTCTGTGTTAACCAAGTTTGCAAGTTTCTGGAATTACTCCTACCAACCCCCCACCCCCTGCCGCCAACATCAAATTACTTTCTCATAATCAACAAATAAATCCCAATTATGTCTCATTAAGAAATTTATGGTTTCAGCAAAGAGCAATCATTGCCTTTGATGGACTACAGGGACAGTTATCACAAAATCAGCCAAGTCACCTTCTCCTTCCTTCCCACCCCAAGAGAAAAACTAAAGTGTATCGGCTACTCTTAACTGACTAGCCACTTAGAAAAAAGTATGTAGAAGTCCTTTGCAGATTACAAAGAATCATGTAAGCCCTTTTGTGTCTTACTTAGAGTTCCAGGAAAAGATTATAAAAACAAAAAAACAAAAAACATTGTTTACATTGCTCAGGGGACCAGCTAAGTCTCAGCTTGCCAGGGCCCAGTCTGTCCAGACCCTCCCAAACCCCACAACCATGAGGAGCCACAGCATTTGCTCCAAGAGAGATCAGCAGACCCCGCCCAGAGAGACCACAAATGAACCCTCACTAAGTTACTACCTCCAGCTGCCTTAAGAATGACAATAAACCTGCCTTACGGGAGAAAGCAGCCACCAGGCTCCTGTGCCAAGCATCAGGAAAACATTTGGGTTCTTAGAGGATGCCATGAACGGTTGGCCCTTCAAGCAGCAACGCTGCCAGACTAGTTTGGTAGCAGGCCATTACCATGGGAGTTCAAAATATACATGAGGATTTTGACTTTCAAATCCCATTCTTAAATATGGTATTATTATTATTATTATGTGAATACAAGACTTTTTATTTAAAATATAATGCTTTCTTCTGTCAGGAGTTAACATTGACTATGTCAGATTGATTAAATGGATTTTTTCTGGATCAGTGGTTCATGAATTTTCTTGCATGAAGCCTGGATATCAGTGGAGAAGACCCAGGCCCCCTGCCTCCCAAGGGATATAAGGGAGAGAAGAGAAGGCCAAGATCCAGTCCCCCTCTGCCCTTCGCTGAGCCAAAGCAGCTTCACTCTTGTCTGTTTTATATATTGGTGTATATGCAAGATTTGGTTTAACAAAAAATTCACTATGACAAAAAGCTTACAAATAATTTAGATACCTTTTAAGTTTCATGTAAACTTGTTTTGCCATCTTTTTAAATTCTAAAGCCAGTAAAAGTGTGCCCAAACCAAAACCAACTTGCTAAGTAAAGAGGTCTAATTGATTTGCAAATATCAAAAGAAATTTGATTCATGGTGTTCCCTCTGAGCAATCAGAATCATATGAAAGATAGACATTTAGTTCATTCTGTTTCAGACTAGTAGTTACTCTATAAGAAAACAGAATTGGCTGTTCTTATCTCCTGGGGTGATGAGAGAGGGAGCCCTATCACTTGTTAGCAATTCCAAGTTCTAAGGCTTTTTCATGCAGTCAATAGTGACAATGCTTCTTCACAGACCGTATAAGACCCTGAAAAAGGTACTAGTGGAAAGAAACCAACATTTATTTAGACTTACTATGTGTTAGGTGCTATGCTAAGAGTTATTCATACATTGTCTCATTTAATCCCTAAACAATTCTTAGCAGGAAAATATTGTTAACTCCATTATACAAATGGGCAAACTAAGGCCCAGAGAGTTTCTGTGACTTGTCCAGAATCATACAACAGGTCTCCTGGGCTCCATAAGGCATTTGGGCCTTGCAGCAAGTTGATCTGAGTTTGAATCCTGACTCTAAAACTTACTGCATGAATGACTTTGAGCAAGTCATTCCCAACTTTGAGTCTCACTTTTCATGCCAGTAAAATGAGAAGCCTTTTCCAGAGTTAAAATCTCTTTGATGTTCAACCTGATTTTACAGTAGAAACAGTTAAGCAAAAAAAAGCAAACATTTGAGCTGTCTGGCATATGGTGCAGATTTGCTAAAAAGATTAAGGAAACTTATTACGTGATCTTCTTTTAATTAATGTTCATAGCATCCTCCTAAGTCAATAGGAAAGGTTAGGATTGGGCATAGATAAGATCTCTGTCTACATGTTGCTGAGAACTTGGGAAAATTAACACAAATTGTGTGCTGAATGAGTTAGTGCTGATGAGTGTGGTATAGACTCCAGGAGACATACAGGAATCCAGAAGGATCCATAGGATCAGGAATTCTTGAGGAAGCTTCAAGAAGAAGTTGAGATGTGGGAGAATGTGTGGGTTGACTAGATGTGTGGAGGGGGTGGACTGGGAAGATAGCAGATTCCACCCTAATGCTAGGCCACTCTGCATTTGATTTGTACAGACAAGCCCACAGGGTACGGCTCCAGCAGTCGGCGGGTGCCTCAGACAGGCATCGTGGATGAGTGCTGCTTCCGGAGCTGTGATCTGAGGAGGCTGGAGATGTACTGCGCGCCCCTCAAGCCCACCAAGTCGGCCCGCTCTGTCCGTGCCCAGCGCCACACTGACATGCCCAAGACTCAGAAGGTAAGCCCACATGGGTGGGATCAGCCATCCGCAAGCGGTTCTGCCTTATTCATGTGAGTGGGCCAAGCAGAAATTCTGTCTCATAGTTTCCTGGCTTAGGGCTCACAAAAAAAATCTCCATTTCCACCAAAGGGATGGATTACATGTCCGCATTGCTAATACTCCCTCCACTGCTCTGGACAGTCTGATAATGGGAAGATGGTGGAAAACAGTAACTAAACAGGGGCTTTGGTATCAGACAAAACTAAAGTCCTAGCTGAGAGCCCTTGGCCAAATAACGTACCTATCCAACCCTGTTTCATCAGTAAAATTGGGATAATACTATCCACCACATCAGTTTTTGTTGTCAAAATTAAGTAAGTTAGTGCATACACTTTAAGATGCTTTTCACATGCCTGCACAAAGCAACTGTTGGACCAGTGTTAATGTCTGTCATAACTGTAATTAATAACAAAGCACGTAGTCTTTATGTAATCTTTCAAGTTGTGGGATTCTGCAATTGTGCAAAGAAAAAAAAAGACGAATGGGAACTATTTTAAAGTTCACATTCAGTGGCAAAGATAATTAAAGAAAAACATTCAGAATAGAAATTTCTGTTTGGCCATGAGAATGCCTAGAAAATTTTAATGATCAAAATTTGCAGGTGTCTTTTCCTAAAAGCTAGACTGTAAACAAACCTTAGAGGTACCATCTATGCTATTAGAAGTACATAAAACATCTGATGCGCGTTAGTCACTTGATAATTTTTTGTTAAATGAGTGAATGAATGAATGAATGTATAGGTGGATATAAAGGATTAGCTAAAATTTTAGTCATTAAGTAGAAAGAGTGAGAACTAAAGAGAAGGTGAAGGACAAAAAAGAGAAAGCAAGGAAGGTAAGTACAGAAAGAAAAAGCTCTCATTTAGGTCTCCTTGGGGACTCCGTTAGGAAAAAAAAAATGCCAACATGTGGTTTTAATCTTTGTAGTCAAAACTAACATTGTGCAGAAGGCACAAGATGAGAGACCAAGAAGTTCACAATGACACCTTTGCTGCTTCCTGGTCCTAAACCACAGCTGAGTCTGGAAGAGGAACACAGTGGCTCAGCAAAGATGTGACCCAAGGGAGCCACCTGAGTGATGGAGGGGACTGGGAAGGACCTGGAACACACAGAACACAGTAGCCAGTGGTCAGTCAGAGAGCAAGGACCACAGAATAAACTTTTAGGTGAAAATGGCAAGAAAGTGTGCTTGAGAGGGCGAAGGCAGATTTATTCTTTCTCTTCCAAGGTGACCCAGTGCCTCTCAGATTCTAGTGGGGAGGGGGTGGATGTCAGAGGTGAGTCACAAAATTCTGGAATGTTGGGTCTTGTGACAGGTATAGACCACTCTCCTGAGCCAGTGCCATCTCCTACATCATATGGAACCTGAGAATTCTAGCCTGACTCAAAGGCTCTGTTTCTGGGGACACTGTGGGAACCACCTGTTCTCAATACAATTATTTTTATGACGTTTACAGTATCTGCCCCCATCTACCAACAAGAAAACGAAGTCTCAGAGGAGAAGGAAAGGTGGGCCAAAGAAACACCCCTGAGGGGAAAAGAAGGAGGGGACGGAAGCCACTCGGCAGATCAGAGGAAAGAAGGAAGAACAGGAGGGAGACTGAAGCTAGACACTCTGAACACTGAGGCAAAAAGAGGAAAATGAAGGAGAGAAGGACTAAGCAGACAGGGGCAAGGATGATGAGAGAGGAGCAGAGAGCAGTAAAGAAAAGCAGGAAATGCTGTAGAGGAAATGAAGAAAAAAAAGTAGGCCCGATGGCACTAGATGGTGAATGTGACAGAAGTGGAAGTAACCTGGTTGCAGTGTGACCAATAAACATGGAGAAATGAAAAAGAAACACATAATGCCCAACAAAGTCCCAAGAAAGACCGTGGCAAGAATGAAAAAAAGAATAAAAATTATAAAAGAGGCAAACCATTCTCCTCCCCCCCCCCAAAAAAAAAATTAGAGTAAAAGATTTCAGAAAAAATCAAGGCTTTTATACATTTTAAAAATTGGTATGAATCTGCTATAAGAGAATTGCCCATGTCAATATATTTTCAGAGTTAAATATTAGCCCAAAATTCTCAGCAAGACTGAATTGTGTCACAGAAGTTCCCAGATTTTCTTTCCAGCAATGTCATTGGAGGCTGCATTTCTTAGTCAAGTCCAGGGTTCAGGCCAAAGAGCGTCCAGTATTTGCCTATGGGCCTGTGAGGCCTGTGAGGTAACCTTTAGAGGTGATCACTGAACTTTTTTTCTTTTTTTTGCACTTTGGAATCAGATGTAAAATATGTTTTTATGTAAAAATATGTTTTTACATTTTTACATATTTATGTTTTACATTTTTACATATTTTTACATAAAAATATGTTTTTATGTAAAAAATATGTTTGCTAGGGCTGCCATAACAAAGTACCACAGACTGTGTGTTTTAAACAGAAATTTATTTTCTCACAGGTCTGGAGGCTGGAAATCCAAAATCAAGGTATCGGCCCTTCCAAGGGCCATAGGGAAGGATCTGTCACAGGCCTCTCTCCTTAACTTGTAGATGGTCTTCTCCTTTCCCTATGCCTTTACACCATCTTCCCTCTACACATGTCTCTCGTCCAAATACCCCCTTAGTATAAGGACATCATTCATATTGGATAAGGGATCATCCTAATGAACTTATTTTAACTTAATTACCTCTGAAAAGACTCTATCTTCAAACACAGTTATATTTTGAGGTGCTGGGGCTTAGGACTTCAACATACAAATTTGGGGGAAGGGAAACACAATTCAGTCCATAACAGAAGACTTCTGACATCTGACAGCCTTTTCATTACATCTCCTAGAATCAATCTCTCTCTCTCTCTCTCTTTCTCTCTCTCTCTGTCCCCCCACCCCTCCCTCTTCCTCTCCCCCTTCTCATCCCCGATCCCATCACACACACACAGATCTAGATTTTTAGATCTGAAATCCTATGAGTTTCTGCTCCATGAAAACACTAGGACTGCTTTACGTTAGGGCTGGAAGAGGACTCAAAAATCATTTGGTTCAATCCCTTTTTTTAAAAAGACAAGGATACTAAGATCTGGAAATGAGTAAAGATATGCTTGGGTTCTAAGCTGTTCTCCTTCTGATCAGCAGATAATAGCACACGATCAAAGTGAGTCGACTAAGAATGAATTCCAAAAGGAAAAGGATGGGCAGAAATGGTCACATGAAGTCTCCCACTAATTTGATGTTTCTCCACCAGAAGGAAGGCAGTGACTGAGAGCAAGAGTGCTGGATTTCTCTGAGGGTAAAGAAAAGCTTACTAGAATCACAGAATCTAGGTCTTTGAGACCGTCTCCTTCAGTTCCCTTGATTTACTCAGTAGGATTAGGATCTTCATAGTTAATAAAGCAAAAAGTCTCAAGATTATAAGAGCTGAGAGAGTGTGGAAGAAAGAAGTGTTCAGCCAAGCAAATAATGACACTTGGAGATAATAAGATGACCAAACAAAGAAATGAAGCATTTCACCCAAGTACCTACTTTGAATATGTCATTGTATAAAGGAATCTCCTTTTTGCCTTGTCCTTCATCCCCCTGGTATGCTTTCTAACTCCAGGATCATCCTTCCTCCATGGTTCACTTAAAACCCAGGATACTTTGAATATAATGGACATGCCCAAGGCTCAATCAAGGAGAAAAAAGTCCAATTACAAGTATGTCGAAGCCCTACATGGGAGCCAAGCCATGCTGCTGTTGCAAAGTGGATCCTGGCTTACCAGAAAAGACAAAAGATAGGCTGACATGAGCCCATCTGGCCAGCCATTTTATTCAGGAGACACTGAGTTCTTCTGTTAAGACATCCATGCTTTGGGACGAGCCTTAGGCACAGGCCAATACCTACTTCAACCATCAACTGAGAGTAGCCTGTAAACACAGATGGCTCTTCAAGGGACCACAGATCAGCAGAAGAATTAGGAATCCATGTCCTATGGAAAGAGTTGGGTAAAGTATAATTATGCCCAATCATAAACTTCATTCAAGAAGAACTAAAGCAAAAAAGAAGGAAGGAAGGAAAGAAGGTACTATACCAAATCATAAACTTCATTCAACAAGAACTAAAGCAAAAAATAGAAAGAAAAAAAGAGGAAGGAAGGAAGGAAGGAAGAGAGTAATAGAACTCTTAGTTAAAGAATGTTTAACTTGGGCTGGTTGGATAGCTCACTTGGTTAGAGGGTGGTGTTGGTAACACCAAGGTCAAGGATTTGGGACCCATACTGGCCAGCCACAAAAAAAAGAACCAAAAAATAAAACCCAAAACAAAAAAACACCCATATTCAGAATGTTTAACTCCAAAACTATGCATTAAAACACACTTCTTTTTGGAATGGGTTTCATCAACTCTAAAGCAGTCATTTTCAATGCCCATATGTGATTCCAGAATAATATGAAATAAGAAAACAGAAAGAATCTATTATTGTCTTTCCATCGCCTCCTTTCTAGTATCAGTACCCAAACACCTAGTGATACATCTGGATGGGTGGATGGATGGATGGATGGATGGATGGATGGATGGATGGATGTACAAGTGAGTCATATAGGCAGATGAACAGTGGTAGACAAACCATAAAAATAAGTTGCACTGCTCAGATGCAATGATTCCTCTCATCCTATGTAGTATAGTGAGGCAAGTACAGAGTGCAAAGGAAAAGCAAAGGAGCTCTGCTTACACAAGTCTTACATGTTTGGAATTTCCTTCTCTAGCCTAAATTGAAATTGTTCAAGAACCTACTGCTACAGGTGTCAAATGGCTAAGTACTTTATAGTAATATATCTGTATACCTATTACTCCCCTTAATGTTTTCTTTAAGTAGGTAGGGTATTAATCATCATTTAAAATTCCAATGTTTCCACTTCAACTATTTCTCTTAGGGAAAATTGATGATTGTGTGTAAAACTAATTGGAATATGTATAGAATCATGATCCTGAAATAAAATTGTTGAAAAATATTTTTATAGAGCATCTACAATGTGCAAACCTCTATACAAGGCATGAAGGAGAGTTAGAAGCATTGGAGAGGCCACATTGTGGTCATTAAGAGTACATAATGTAGAGTCAAACTGTCTGGGGTTAAACCCTGGTTCTCTCACTTACTAGCTGTCTGACCTTGGCAAATCATGTAACATAACTGTGCCTCAGTTTTCTCATCTGTCAAAAAGGGTAAACCTGAATCTACCTCAAACGGTTGTTATAAGGATTTATATATATATATATATATATA